CAGCTTAGGTGTACGTGGCTGGCGCCTTAGCCGGTTGAGCTATAGGCGCCGAGCCCAAAAGGTCATTCTTGCCTTACCATGTTGGTCAGAGCAAGACACAAAGGTGAGCCCAGGTTCATGGGCTGGGGAAAAAGGTTGCACGGCCTGGTGACAGGAACTGCACACAACTTTCGGTCATTGTAGGTCTGCTGTTAAGTAAACAAAAGTAACTTCAGTTTTGCTTACATTTCTCAACATCAGTGAAGGAGACTCAGTGTTTGCTTAGGTCCGGTCTCCTAAACCCTCCGTTGCATCTACAGAGTGTTAGCTACAGAGCTCTCCCTCCTGGTGTGCAGGCACTGATGACCTTCTGACCTTCCAGCCTTCTCCTCTTCTTTCCCACTGCTGTCCTCCTCAACCCCCTGGACTTACCCTGGCGTGTTAAGTTTATATAAATGCCATCATGGATACATATAAATTTCTTTGTGTAGATTTTAGTAGATCCCAGCTCATTTTAAGTCTCTACAGGATTCCTTCGTTTCCATGTATCACACTTCACTGTTCAATTCCTCTGGACTTTGGTGGAGTATTCAGGGTGTTCCCACCTAGTACTTTGTTCTATAGATCTGTGTCTTTGTGAACATGCAAGAAACCTTGGGGTGTGTATCCCACAGTGGAGTCAGGGAACGCGACCATGCCTAGTTGCCATTTGCACCCACTTGCTCCCAGAGCTAAATGGCCATGGATGGTCATGGTAGCAATGTGCCAGAACCCCTGAACCCAATGATTGCTTGTATTTGATGTCACCCAGTGTCTTACTTTTGGTTGCTCTGGTAGATGTTAAATGCATCTAAGAGAGTGAGTGGCCCAAGGTGTCCTTATCTGGCTGGGTATTAGAGGTCCACTCTGGGGATTTCCCCACCAGGCCCTTTTCCCCTCCCTCCATATGATGTTTGGTCTTTTTTCACAGTGGCCCCAGGATTTCCCACATCCTCTATTTTTTTTTTCTTTGTTAAGAGATGGGTTCCTGCTATATTGCCCATGCTGGTCTTGAACTCCTAGGCTCAAGTGATCCCCCTACCTGAGCCCCTGCTGAGTAGGTGGGCCTCACAGATGCAAGCCACAAGCCAGTCATGGGGCTCTTCCAAATCTGTCTTGTCCCATACCTTAGTCTTGGGTCCTTTCCCATTTCCATCAGCTGCCTTAGGAATAAGACACAAAATAGAGCAGGTTGACTGGCTCTTTAGGTCTCTCTTGGTTATAAGGTGGCTGCAGCAGTTCAGGCATCACAGATGACACCAGTAGGCAACAGGTAGACTGTCCTTTCAGTGTCTCCTTTGCAGAGAGACAAACCTCCCACAAGTACCCAGACAACTTCTCCCATGGGTCACAGGTAGATTCCTACAATAGGAAAGCAAGGCAGCCGTGGCGGGTGTAGACCAGTGCTGTTACACCTGGTACTAGGAGAGGATGGGCCTGGCTCCCCAGAAGAAGACACTTGCCAAGAGAGAGGGAGCAGCTTTAAGAGATCGTAGGCAACCAACTGTGTGTGCACAGGCTGCAAGCTTTCCTCCTTGTTGCTTCCTACAGCCCTCTAGCATTACCTTAGACCTGAGCCAGAGGGGCACTCTTGCCTCTAAAAATCTTAAAGGGTACTCATCAGATGTGAGAGTTCTTTCCTATCCCTCTTTCGTAAGAGCTTTCTAAAATTATCAATAGAGGCCAGGTGTTAGCCGGGTGAGGTGGCTCAGGCCTGTAATCCCAGCATTTGGCAGGCTGAGGTAATTTGGGATTGCCTGAGCTCATGAGTTCGAGACTAGCCTGAGCTGGAGTGAGAAACTGTCTGAAAAAATAGCTGGGCATTGTGCCGGGCGCCTGTAGTCCCAGCTACTAGGGAGGCTGAGAAAGGAGAATCGCTTGAGCCCAAGAGTTTGAGGTTGCTGTGAGCTATGATGCCATGGCACTATGATGCCATGCCCCAAGACTGTGTCTCAAGAAAATAAATAAAATTAGCTTGGCGCTGGTAGCTCAAATGGCTAAGGCGCCAGCCACATATGCCAGAGCTGGTGGGTTGGAATCCACCCAGGCCTGCCAAACAACAATGACAATACAACTAAGAAATAGCTGAGTGTTGTGGTGGGCACCTGTAGTCCCAGCTACTTGGGAGGCTGAGGCAAGAGAATCGTTTAAGCCCAGGAGTTGGAGGTTGCTGTGAGCTGTGATGCCACAGCACTCTACGCAGGGTGACAGTTTGAGGCTCTGTCTCAAAAAAAAAAAGAAAATAAATAAATAAATAAAATTATCAATATTAAACTTGATCATCTTTTCTGCATCCTTTGAAGAGTGTCATTGAAATGGTGGTGTTCCCCCTTTGTCCATGTGGTGAACAACATTGATTTCTTTTTTTTTCTGAGACAGAGTCTCAAGTTGTTGCCCTGAGTATTGCTCACAGCAACCTCCAACTCTGACTTAAGCAATCATCTTGCCTCAGTTTTTCTATTTTTAGTAGAGATGGGGGTCTTGCTTTTTTGCTCAGGCTGGCCTCAAAATCCTGAGCTCAAACAATCCACTTGCTTGGACCTCCCAGAATGCTGGGATTACAGGCGGGAGCCCTGTGCCCAGCCAACAACATTGATTTTCTGATCTTGAATAATCCCTGAAATAAACTCCACTTGCTTTTCATGTATGTACTTTTTTTTTTTGTACCCCATTTTGGATTTGGTTAGCTAATAATTTACTTTGGAGTTTTGGACCCAAGTTTATAATTGAAATTGGCCAAATAAAGGCAGATTGTATTTATTTATTTTTGAGACAGAGCCTCAAGCTATCCCCCTGGGTAGAGTGCTGCGGCATTACAGCAACCTCCAACTTCTGGGCTCAAGTGAGTCTCCTGCCTCAGCCTCTCAAGTAGCTGAGACCACAGGTGCCTGCCACAACGCCCAGCTATTTTTTGGTTGCAGCTGTCATTGTTGTGTGGCAGCCGGGCTGGATTCGAACCGCCAGCTCAGGTGCATGTGGCTGGTGCCTTAGCCGCTTGAGCCACAGGTGCAGAGCGTAAAGGGAGATTTTTCTTTTCTTTTCTTTCTTTCTTTTTTTTTTTTTTTGAGACAAAGCCTCAAGCTATCCCCCTGGGTAGAGTG